CTCTATCTCCTATTTTTCTAGGACATCCCCTCTATCTCCTATTTTTCTAGAATCTAGAAAAGCTGGATTTTTATCCTAAAACATCTTGATTTCTAAATACGGGCTTGATTTAAAACAAACATCATGAAAGCCAAAGGAAATATGCCTGTGGACTGGATCTGCCTTTTAGGCTGCACATTTTCAACATATGACTTTCGACTAGGAAGGGAATGTAGAGGTCATCTCTAGAGTATAACTTCTTCACTTAACAGACAAGGATAGCCTGTCCAAAGGGCCCCAGCAAAATGAGACAACCATACAGCCAGACTAGATCACAGGTCCTTGAAGTGTCCATCCACTGCAGATTTTTTTTAATGTTGCTTCCAGTTTTTGCCCCAAGCTGGACCACTACCATTGACTGTTTTTCTCTAAGGTATATATGGCACTAGGGTAGCATTGAGAGTGATGTGTTGGAAGGAGGTTGATGAGATTTTCCTATAGATGTGAAAAACACTCACTCGTCATCTCATTACCAAACTGAACCAAGAGTGTCCCAGTTAGGATAACACTGGTAGCAGCAAACCCTTGTCCACAAACAGGGATCAAGTGTTCCCAAATGACCACCTCATTCTCTATGTCCTGAGGATAAACCAGGGTTCATTTACAGTCTAAAGTCTCTCGAAGCTTGTTCTGGCCCCACCCTAAGGAAGATATGCTGCATATTTTAATAATCTGCAGATGACAGCAGGGAATTTTTGTGGTTGATCCATGACAAAGGTCATTATTTTATATATTTTAAAGAAAAGAACTTTTTTTCATTTGTATACAAATCTCTTGGGTATATCTCCAAGCTTGTCAAGAAACCAACCCCCAACACTAGTATTTCTCATAAAATATTGGGAAGCATTATCATCTAGGGTTTAGATGAGGGACTTTGGCATTAGATCTATCTGGTTCATGTCTAGGCTCTGCCACTTAAAGGCTATGTGACCTTGAAAAAGTGAATTGCCTTCTCTAAGCCTCAGTTACATATAGGTGTGGATTAATTAAAACAAAGCTAACAATGCTTTTCAAATATTATAAGTGCTTATAAATGATAGCCATATTACACTATTACTTCAACTTGCTTTGTGAAGGGACTTAATATTGAATCAATATTTTTGTGCAATTAAAAAAATCTGTATATGCCATTTTTTTCCAGAAAGATGGGAAGCCTAATTAACACTCTCTCAGCACTGCTAGTTTGATACCTGCTTGGCTGTGGTCGTAACGGAATTTCAATCTAAGTGACTTCTGCTCCAATATTATCTGAGACATAAAAATTACCAAGAAAGGCCATGAAGTATAGAGATAAGACCCGATTAAACAATTCAATTCTTCTTGTTACCATATCATCGCATTCCTAATCTTTAGGAGATGCTTCTCTGGAAGCTGTGGGTGTTGTCCACAATCTATAACAGCCCTCGTGTTTAGTTTTGGCAGAGGAGTGAAATATCCAGATGGGACACATTTATTCATGTGGGTATTCTCAAGGAGTCTGGCCTTTGAATTCTTAGGATATTTACTACTTAGGCCCTTGTACTCTGAGTTGTGCATTCATTGAACATCTCACAGAAATTTGGAGCTGAATTTGGAAGATATGCTTCTGAATATGCTACTGACTAGAGCTGTGCCAAAAGGTTGGACAGAAATGTGGACTCATGCAGATTAGCAGTGCCAGGCTCACAAATTAAATTTCAACACTTCCAGCTCATCTTGGCAACTGCTAATATCCTGATGTCATGCAGTCATGATGTAAGCCAGAAAGAGTGGTATTTTGCAACAGAGAGATTCTGGTAACCCTTACCATGAGTATGAGTTGTAGGATATCAGTATTTATATCATACCACAGAATGTGTTACAGTTTGTAAGACAGAGAAGTTAAATTGTTTACTCATGTCCTCTGTGGCGAATCATCCTATGTTCAACATCAAAAGGTTAAATTAGTCAGACATTTTTTTTCAATTACATATAATGAATAGAAATCTTCTTGACGTCATCAAAATAGATGTTTCAAAATTAAGGGTTGTATTGTGCCAGGAAACGCTAAAAGATGGAATGTGTTATGATTTCATCTACTTTCCAACGTTATAAAAACATAATTATACAAAAAAGTAATCTGGAGAAAGAAGATACAATAACAAGCAGTTATAATTCCCTTTTTGTAAATTTACTCACTCAAGCACAACTGAAGTTATAGTGTTTGCTCCCACAGCCATTATGCTCCAAAAGGCTAACTAATGACTCACTCATGAATATCGATGACCTAAGAATGTGTTCTCAAGAACTGAAGGACAGACACAGGAAGGAGACAAAATGGGAAATAAAAGAAATTGATGAACCCCTTGGCCCGTTTGATTTAGTCAAAGATGCAGAAGCATGTTCTCATTTCTTTCCTAAATGACCCACCTCACCTAATAGCTGAAAATGTAGTTCTGATGCCAGGGCTTCACTGGTAGGCTTTTTTCAGGGTCTTATTGCATATAGGAAAAAATAGAAAATGAAAAATTTGCAGAACATCTTATACTTATGCATTTTCCTACTTAAGGCCTGCTTACACGTGTAAATATTGCCATAGGAATGCCAGGGATTCCTTCCCGGAAAATGAACTCTAGGAGTTTATCACAAGATTCTTTTGTATGACAGACCATAAACAGATGGCTTCTCATGAGCTACACTCTAAATTTCCATATACATAGGGACTTCCCTGGTGGCGTAGTGGTTAAGAATCCACCTGCCAATGCAGGGGACACCGGTTCGAGCCCTGGCCCAGGAAGATCCCACATGCCGTGGAGCAACTAAGCCCCTGAGCCACAAGTACTGAGCCTGCACTCTAGAGCCCACGAGCCACAACTACTGAGCCCACGTGCCACAACTACTGAAGCCTGCATGCCTAGAGCCTGTGCTCTGCAACAAGAGAAGCCACTGCAATGAGAAGCCCGTGCACCTCAATGAAGAGTAGCCCCTGCTCGCTGCAACTGGAGAAAGGCTGTGGGCAGCAACGAAGACCCAACACAGCCAAAAATAAATAAATAAATAAATTTATAAAAATAAATAGATAAATTAATTTCCATATATGTAGTCTCACTGGGTGGATTTTATAATGTTGATGTATACTCTTCCACAGGTGAAAAAAATTGAATTTCTATTGGTTTTATGTTTTGGTTTACGTTTTGGTTTGGTATTCTGGGAATTTTAATTTGTTGATTAATATCAATTCAATTATGTTTACATATTAGAAATATTTATAGACAGCAAATATTATAACTTTTTAGGTTATCACCTCCCCAGACTCTACCCTTACTTCCTCTTCTTTTCATCGGGAGGCAGTCCTTAATTAAGCTATAGTGTTTCTTCCTGGACTCTACCCAGCTTTTTAACACCTTTTTGAAATGCTCAGGAAAAGCCCAGCTTTCTAGGTGCGGTCACTGGAGTCACTGGGAGGAAGCTTCATCTCCCCACTCCTTGGTATGATGTAACCTCTGCATACTTTGTGAGGTCATGCAGAAAGTGCTGACATGCAATTCATCTGCATTAAATTCCTTCTGAAGGAAAAACAAAGCAAGTGAAATGCCTTCTATTCAAAGGAAAGCAGAATGTAGTTTTGTTTAAAAGTGAATGAAAAGTCACAACTTGATATAAGAAAAAGGCTTGCTACTAGGCTACCATTGTAAGAATATTCATGTTTGATCTTTTTTTAACCCATCTCATGATCAAAATTATTTTGCTTATCTACACCACAATAGAAAAGAAGTCTTAGATTGAATCTAAAAGAAAAACGGTAGATATTATTATTTTTAATTTCATGTTTTACAAATTCTTAAATTATTATTTTACAAACCAAATAATAAAATATACACCTAAGATGATATCCAGTGGGGTGAGAGGTGAGGTCAGGGACAGAGATGGAGTTGAGAGGTGGAAAATATTCTCTCTTCTGTCACAATCAAATTTTAGAGCTAGAAGGACCTTGTAGGAACTGATCAAAGCCCAACAAATTAAGGGACCTGAACTAGACTATTCAAATTAGGTGGAAGAAGTATGATTAGAGAGGAAGGACCCTAATTCTCAAATTGTTATTTCTACCAAATATTCCGTTTTCTCTCCCTCTGCGCAGATCTTCTCTCCGGTACCCAGAAATGGTAAAGAAAATTTCCACCCGCTGTTGGCTGGTGAAAAATTCTTATGTCAGGTTCTTCAGTTTCTATTTCAGAACCAATTGTAGAATTTTATTTGTTAGTAGAATTTTAGAATTTCAGTCCAAATAGATAATCGCCAGGTAATTCCACTAACAATAGGAGAAAGTGATGAGCATAAGCATTCGGGGACCAGTGAGTCCAACACAAAATTTTATAATCCATGCAGAAATAAAACCTTTTTGCCTCCTCAGGGCTCAATATCCAGGTAGCGTTCAGTCATCAGAAACTCTTTAGCTTATTCCATATTTCACAGTGTTGTCACAAGTTGGGTATCATTATGTTTGCCTTGGACATTCCATTTCTTTTCTCTAGCTTAGACTTCAATCATAAGTTTGGTTCACTGGAGGTGCCATAATACTAATCTCATCTGAATAGCTGACATCACATTCTTTTAGACACCATGAAAGCATTATGTTTGGGATTTGGTCCGTAGAGCAGTGGTCCAGTATCCTGGTAGCAAGCATAGTGAAGAATCCAAGCTTGGCATTGCTTTGGCTGGCTGCAAGGTTGATAATTATTCCCGTGAAAATTCACATCTGACATAGTCAGAAGCATAATACTCAGTCTCTCTGCAGTGAGAACAATAATCACACAACAGCAACAAACCCAGAGTAGGACTGTGAACTTGACCTCTGTCACTGTACCTTGTTTCCTTGGCTCCCATGGCACTTTAAAAATGGCAAAGTCTAAGGACCCATGTTGAAATTTCTTCTCTTGTTTCATCATGATCCCAACTTTCTAGTCAGCTTAGGAAGTTTTGTTGTTTCACTTGAAACCTTCAGGTTTGGGCCCACTGATTTTCACCAATGACTCATGAAAATTTCTTACAAAGGCCTCATAGTGGTCTTCCTCCGGAACAGATGTTGTAAGGTGATTTCAATTTTAGACACCTAAAACAGAGTATTGGTTTTCATATGAATTTGACTGCCGTTTGTATTGCTTATTGAGGATTATATAAATGCTCTGGTGTAGCAATTGCTTTTGGTATCCCACCCATATCCTCTTTACCCACTGGTATACCCATCCCCCAGCAGTTGTGGGTGTTAATAAGGCTCACAGTACCATCCTTCTCTAGAAGATTGTCCTCAGCCAAGAGAGGACTTTGCCTGAAGATTCCTAGGAGATTCCAAGCCCCTGCCCCTTACCCTGCCAGGAGCACTCTGACACCCATGCCTCATGATGCTGGGTACTACAATCAAGATCCCTCACCTTCTTGGGATGGGTCAGCGATGCCAGTCATGTTCTAGGTCTCCCTTTGGAATCAGGCTGAGGATAGACTTCAGCTAAACTACATCTTTGCTTACCTTCTTCCTCTGTTCTAGCTTTCTTACTTCATTACAGATTTCACCTTTGAGCATTCCCTTGACCAGTCATCACTCAGTCAGGAATCTCTATCTTAGGTTCAGCTTCTAGGGAACCTGATCCCAGACAGCTGTCTTGTTAATATTAAAAGGTCTTACTTCCTTTTTTATTTTCTTTCTTGGTCTCTTAGGCAACTGATATAACAGATTTTATATCAAATGATCCACAATTGATATTAACAGATTTTATTCTAAGATGCAATTCTTTTTTTTTTTTTTTTTTTTTGGTACTCAGCGGCCATGGCCCACGGGACAAGCCGCTCCGCGGCATGTGGGATCCTCCCGGACCGGGGCACGAACCCGTGTCCCCTGCATTGGCAGGCGGACCCCCAAACCACTGCACCACCAGGGAACCCCTCTAAGATGCAATTATTAAGCAAACAATTTTTTAAAAAATGTTGTACAATAATTTTTGGTCATTTTAAAAATGACAACTTAGTTAATGGAGTACAGCAAAGTAAATGTATTTATACCTTTTCTTTAACGTATATCACATTATTTCTTGACTTTTCCCTATACATGGATTAAAGGAAAAATTACCAGTGTGGAAAAGCCAGAAATAATGATTAATAATTAATGCATGAGTAATTTATACTTAGTGGATCAAATTTATCTTGTTTAGCTTTTAACAGTAGACAGAATCTCCTGAATATACCCTCAACTAATGTCTGGGAAGAAAATGGCCCACATTTATCACACATTTTCATTCATTTAACACTCATGTTTTGATTTGTCCATTCAAAAAATATTTACTGAGTGTCTATGGTGTGCCAGACATGGTATTCGACACTTCATATAGTTGTGCACAAAACACATTAATCTTTACCCTTGTGGGCCGACTGTCTTACACATTTATAACTTTGATGTAGGCAGACAGAGTTGGGGATGAAGGGAAACTGTAAATTGGAACTATCCTATTGCAACTGTGGGTAAATTTTTACCTCTTGTCTGGGTTTATGAGAAAAGGCATCAAAACAGATATGCAGAAACTTGCCAGATTTACAGCCATATTTTCACTAAAAAATTATATATGTCAGTGCCTGGTACATTGTAGGGGCTCAGTGAATATTTCTCAAATGAATGAGTATCTAATGACTTCATAATTTGTATTTTTTCATACCTCTTTTTTATGTAGCAGTAAAAAATAACAAGAAAACCACTTAATAATAATCCAACGCCAATCCCAATTGCAATGTACTTTTCATAAGAATCCACAGCATATGAAGTTAAGGTCAAGTGCTCACACCTTTCTCCAGTATAACCAGGAAAACACCTTTAAAAAAAGAAAAGAATGTGTAATTTTTAAACTCATGATAGAAACACAAATGACAAATTTCAAAGAATGAAAAAAATTTAATAAAAAGTGATTTAAATTAAAGAGGCCAATACCAAATGAAAGCCAATCTATTAAATGTATTGAAGAAGCCATGTATTTTACAATCATCCTTTGCTTAAGACCCCATATTAATGCAACTTCCCTCATTGGTAGGAGGGAAAGGTAGGACCCTTGCATGAGTTGATCTAGAAAATTGTTAACCTACTCTTTCATAGGAGGATGCTGAGCAAATCAACGATCGTAAAAATGGTGTCTCAGTTGATCTAGAACTTTATATTCCTGAAGTGTTTTTGCCATAGTCTGTTTCACTTTATCCTATAATCTATCCATAAAAACTTGGAAACTTCTTTGCATGTTGTTAGAAGTTGATTTGGATTCAGTAGTTTTGAGGTACGGTGTGAGCTTCTTCGTCTTCAGCAAAAGCTCCCAGGTTACACAGACGCTGCTAATCTAGGAACCATGTTTTTGAGTAATGAAAACTAGGTAGGTTAGAAAAAGACCCCTTAGATATTCAAATACAAAGAGAGTTGGTGAATCACGTTCAGATCATGTACCTTTTTTACTAGATAAGATGGAGGCGTGTGGAAATGTACTATGTGAAACACCATGTGAAAGGAGGCATACCTTCTCCTCCCATCTCTAGGGCTTGGGAAGTTCTTTGCAATTACCTGCAGATGGCTTTCTCCAGCTCATGGTGGAATGCACAGACACCATGGATGCAGTAACTATGGTGGTCTTCCAGGCAAGGATGTGAGAACCTCAACGCTATGGGTCCTTCTGTGTAGCCAGCTAGAAAAAGGAGATACAGTATTAACAGATGAGGTGGGTCACACTTCCACAGTAGATTTGTAACATATATACAAAAAGGCCTTTAATTTTAGGAATATTCTTTGAGTGCTCTGTCATTTGAAGTACTGATTGATTCCTTTGACAGGTTATATTTACAAAGGTTGGGTTAATATCATCTAAGACATATTAATGAATTACGGGCTGGAGGTAGATTGATGATCATTCCATTCTTTGGAAACTATGTAATAAGATATAGATACAAGTTTGCCAAAAGGTGGCAGCATTGATTCTAGTCTTAGCATGCTATCCTGGGCAAGGCTTCCCAAATATATGCCTGGATACAAATATATGCCTGGAAACAAATGAAATAATACAATTTTTTTCATTCTCCCCTTTACACCTGAGAAGTAAGCACTTAGGAAGATTTGGATTTATGGTTGGGAGATAATGAACTTGATTTCTTTTCATTCCCCAGAGAAGAGTGAGATGAGAATCCCCCCTTCTTATGCAGACTACCTTAAGTAGCTAATGGAAAACCTATACATGAAGCCAGAAACAACTTATGGCTCAGGCTTAACATAGCTAAGACAATAACTTCAGATGTTAATTAGAAAATTTACTCAGTTAAGAGGCATTATGAGATTGTGGGAAAAGCCGTGGAGTTGGAATTAGAAAACCTGGGTTTTGATTTCTAGCTTTAACACCATGCAAATGACCACACTTGGCGAAACCTTTGTGGTCAAGTGTCCAGAAGCCTCTTTATGGGAAACTTCCCTTTGAGAAGCTGTACTGTGGCAAAATACTTAGATTTCAGGATGCTTATCCTTCATTCCTTGATGTACTAAAGACATATACCTATACTATCCTTGAGATTTATGCAGTGGGAATGACAAAACAGCATAAATGAGTCCTTTTTAGTATACTTTAATTACTGATTCTTAAATTCTTCTCAAGAAGAATTAGTGGCATTTTATTTTTGTCACTGTTACGAATAAACATATCTCCTCAACCTTAGTTATCATGTTATATTATATTCACCTTGCTAAGTAGATTAAGAGAATCATACTTATTTTGTTTTCAGGAGAAAATGATCTTAAAAGGCATACTTATTTATATCGAAAATACTAAATCTTTAGGTACCAAGTCACCAACAACATACTGTTATATAACTTCCTTTTGGTTGAGCGCACACATTACCTTAAAATTCATATTCATTTTGTTAAATGTGGTATAGTAAATCTAATTTCTCATCTTGATAATTACTTCTAAGGCAGTGGGAATTTCTCATTATAAACTGTGGTAGGTTCTTCCTACTTCAAGATTAAATAAGTTCAATTAACCAAGCCTGAACCAGGACTTACTAGAAAATGGGAGAATTGAAAGAAGACATTTCCAAAGAAGGAATATACTAGAGACTCATCTTTCCTCTAAGGAGAAGAATATCAGTTGTAACTTCATGAAACTTTCCTGAGATACTGGATTCAGATTTTTAAGTGAAATGAAAAGCAGGGAACTAAAATTCACCCATCAAGAAAGCAAAAAAAAGAACTACTGAAGTGATATATTCAATCCCTTTTGTCCATAATTATTACCTGTAACTTGGAGAATTTGACTTGCAGTTCACTATTAGGGAAGAGAAAAGGTGGTGATGGACACACTGTTATGTCACTGAGAGGAAACTGTTCTTTAATTCTCTACAGTATTATCTGTCAACAAAGATGTTTCCTCTTTGTTTAAAGGCTCAAAAGACATGAAGAATTTGGCTAAAAGTTATTCTAAAAGCCACACATTTTATTTTGCAAATTGATATATATGCAAAAACTCAAATGAGCAAAATATTTTAAGCAAATTTTTTTAATTTAAAATTATTGGTGAAATGAAGAATACTTAAATATTACTGTCTTTCATATTCAGAAACAAAATGTTTAACTTGATCTTCTTTTACTTGCCTGGCTCTGAGAGCAAGATATGGTGTTTCTTTGATCCTAAGTCACAAAGCCCATCTTCACATCGGGGGTGGTATGTGATTTGTGTGAGAATCACAACCACCTGATACACAGGTCTTGGCAGGTAACAAGTTTCCCAAGTTCACCTCTAAGAGTTCAAAGAGTTTGGAAAAATGCTGATGCTCAACAGTGGCCAGAAGCTATTTTAATAACAGTAATAAAATACATCATCACCATCAACAACAAAAATTGGATACAAGTGGTTGGGAGGTATAGCATATACTAAAGCAACAACAAAAGCCCCCAATGACAAGAAAAAAGATCTTTCCAAAGATGAGGGAAAGTGGATTAAGGCTTCATCTGTTAGCCATAATTTATTTGGCTGCAAAGCTCACAATCACAGATCAAAATATAAAGCCACGCATCAAGAATGCCAAAATAGGGACAAACTGCCTCTGGAAGCACATGGGTTATTGGGAGTCCAGCAGGAATCAAGCAGAAAGTTTGGCATGTTTCATGTCCAGGACAGTAACTGAAAACAACTTTTTCTCATTTGCTTCACTTCCTCCTTTTAAAAAGAGAATTCTTTGCTGACACATTTACCTGTCACTCCCATTTAACAGCATCCTGATAAAAGATTGTCTAATAATAAAATATATATTTAAAAATTTCCAGTGTTGCTTTTATCACAATCCAAATTTCTCTCAAACATTAAAAAAAAAATCACTTGGAAAAAAAAAAAAGTCACTTGAAATACAAAAGTTTGAAGAAAATACCTTCTGTTTTGTTAACAGTCCAGTTACTTTGCTGGGTTGTGATTGGGGGTGTTACAGTCCTGGCTGCCTCTTCAGTCACTGCTGTCACAGCTGTGTGAAGGGGGGGGAGGGAAGGCATCTTTAGCAGGTGAGCCTCCTTCTACATACCAGCAACAGATCAAAAGTTATTCTATCTAGTCCCACATCTGTTCTATTTTTAATTCATTTACATTTGAAATCCATAACCTGACAAGGGCAGTTTCTTGATAGTTTCTCATGCATATCAATTCCACTCACTACATTATAGTTAGAGAAAGTAGAAACACATTAATTATTAAGAGGAAATAAATTTTATAAACTCATAAAATAAATTTTATTACATTTTATAAACTCATTCAGTCACAAGGACACTATCATATCATATGTATCAGCTACTCTTCAGTTGTATAGAACAGACAATGTAAAGATCTCAGAAAAATAGGTGTCAAAATATGTTAAAAGAGGAACACACATTACATAAGAAACTAAATTAATTCCCAAATTCCTTGCTTGGATCTTTGTCATGAAGAACAACTGCTAAAAGGCAACTCCTCACTAATTCAGATAAAACAAATCCTATTCACATTTTACAATGACACAAAATTAACACAGCAAAAAGAAATGACCTACCATTGAATAAGATATAGACTGATATCGAAACTCCGAAAGCCATTTCCTGCACTTGTTAACAGTATCTTGCTCTTATCCTCCTAGAATGACGGGTGGAAGGTTTTTATTGAGCTCTCTCGGAGGCTTTCTTGCATTTATATTTCATGAAGCGTCATCTGGCAGTTCTTACCAATCCAAAAAATATGTCTTTCTGGCAGCAGCTTGAAGCCTTGAGGCATTCGTGTACTTGTTTAGGATACCTGTGTTATCTAGCAGTGTGATCAAATTTTCTTTTGAAACACTGGTTTCCTGTTACCTGTGGGCATAATCGTGTCTGTAAACACACTGAAAACAACAAAAAAGAATCTGAATTCGGGAAAAGCCCCCTTGGTGTGAACAGAATTATCCCAGCTCCAAAGTTGATAGTGACCTATAAATGATTCCAAGAAAGGGGAGTTTTGATATTTCCAAAGTCGGAAACATCTTACTTAACCTGTTTGTAAAAGAAATATCCCTGAAGCTGCAGTCAGTTATACTACTTTTCAGTACAGATTGGGTTCCACTGCAAATCAAGATATTTTGTAATTTATGGGCAGGAGAGAACAATTAAATGTGTGTAAAAATAAAGGTTTAATATTCCATTTTGGTTTTTGCTACTTAGTTTTACTATTTCAATTTCTGTAAAAATAATTGTTTTTAAGAGCATAAGATTTACATTTATGTCATTCTGCCATTTATTATTTTTCTGAGTAAATGGAATAGGCTACCGAGTTCTAGGAACTATAGTTCTTAAGTATATGCCCTAATGATTAGGCTCTAGAGAGAACCAGTAAAGCACTAAAATAATGATGATGATGATAATTATAATAATAATAGTAATAATAATAATAATGTCATCTCCATTAAGATAAAATTAAAATATTTATGTTTGGTACGTCTAATGCATAGAAAGCTTTTAGTTTAATACAACATTCAAATTTTTCTTACTATTAATCTACTTATGATTATTAAAGTACCACTTTTAAGGCCAAAATATGTAATTATTGCTATTACTTTTTGTGACTATAGGAACTTCCATAAATTTTTCACTTGCCCCAAATTATTATAAATAATTTATAAATATGTTTTGCTGAACTATTGCAACTTTCTACCAGTAATTTCAATTGCTAATATTTTCTGTACCTTAAAAACCTGTTTAAGTCAAGATAGGTTGTCATTTGCTTCATGTCCACCCAGTAAATTCAGTTTACCGGAAAGGATCCCTTTCACTATTCAGATATGAAGTTGGCTTTAGAAATCACACAAGAATGAGCTTGTTGAACTCATTATACCTTGGGCAATCACTTGCCACAGAGTCATCCTTTTAAAGTTAAAAGACTATACTTGGCTTGCTTTAAATGTGCCTACAGTTCATATTCCTACTTTCGTAGAGTTTTAAAAAACTACTTATTATTAAGACAAGTTCTGGATACTGTTTTCCCAAGCAAATCATATTTGAATTATAAGTCAAATAATCATCTCTGTATCACTGGTAAGAATTTAAGGAAAAATCATTTACAAAGGATTAAATAAACCACGGCCAATTGCAGTTTCAGGAGGAAGATGCTAGGTCTAATGTTAAATATGTTTATTTCTAAGACTGGGACATAGTACCACAACCATCTTTATAGTAACTGTTAACTAGCACTTGACAGTGCTTTGCATTTTGCAGAAGGTTTTCACACACATCTCAATTCTGTCTTTAGTAATCCCGGCCCCAACAAATCCAGTGCCTAATATATAGTGTAGAGTATACTCAATCAATCTGTCTTGAGTGAATAAAGAAATAAACAACAGGCCTGATTTTTATTTCCATATGACAAATAAAGAATGAAGACTCAAAAGAATTAAGTGACTTGCCAAAGGACCACACCCTAGAGTCAGGACTTGAGCACATGTTCAGATTCCAGATCATACGCCCTCTCCAGTTCCCCAGCTGTGTCCTCTGGTAGGAGTCAGTATACTGACCTTAGAGAAATTCAAATTATCTCTTAAGATCAAGATTTAAGTAAATTACCTTACCATAAGAATCTAAACAAATGAATTATGGCTTTTACACATGTTTGGGCTGAGAGAAGTGGACCACTGTCTCTCTAGATGTTTCTCCACTCTGGTGAATTAAGCCATATAATATAGAAACTCACCTACCACTTGAGCTTAAGAAAATAGCTCCAAGTCATCCCATATGTTTCTTTTCCTCTGGGACTCATCATGATGGATCCCACTTACACTCTATATAGGAAAACCTCCTATCTTCACATCTTCAATCCTCTCATCAGGGAGTCCTTCCGCAATCCTGAAGAATGGGAGAGGTGGGTACTGTAACATGGCCTCACGGATACTCGTATTCATTCTTGATACATGTTAGAGTGAAAAAGAAGGCTAAGAGCTGCAGCACCCCACTATCATTTTTCCCTCTGACCATTTTTCATCTTTTTAATTTATTCATCTCTCTCTAGTTATAAGCATCTCTGGAAGTGTCTTCTCTTCCCTTCCCTCGCTAAGTTTATTTTTTTCCTTCCCTTCTCCTACTTTCCCTTTCTTTCCCCTCCTTTCCTTTCTTCATCTCTCCTCTCTTTTCCTTCGTTTTTTATTTTATTTTATTTTTTTACTTATTTATTTTATTTTTGGCTGCATTGGGTCTTTGTTGCTGTGCGCAGGCTTTCTCTAGTTGCAGCGAGCGGGGGCTACTCTTCCTTGTGCACAGGCTTCTCATTGCGGTGGCTTCTCTTGTTACAGAGCATGGGCTCTAGGGCGCGTGGGCTTCAGTAGTTGTGGCACGTGGGCTTAGTAGTTGTGCCTCTCGGGCTCTAGAGTGCAGGCTCAGTAGTTGTGACGCACAGGGTTAGCTGCTCTGCAGCATGTGGGATCTTCCTGGACCAGGGCTTGAACCCGTGTCCCCTGCACTGGCAGGCGGATTCTTAACCACTGCGCCACCAGGGAAGCCCCCTTTTTCTTTCTTGCTCTTTCACTAACAGCCAAAATTTGTTGCCAGACATTGGCAGGAAATGGTCATCAGCCCATTGCTTATCTCTCTCTAAACTTACTCTGTAATTCTCATGAATTCAGTTGCCATTCATCCATCCATAAACCATTTTATGCCTGTAACATGTAATGTTTGTAAGACAAATAGAAAAATCCTGCAGAGACTCTGACCTCAAAGAACTAGAGGGGGCTAAGGAAAGTACATACATAACTACAGTGCTGGGTAGAGACGGATGACTGCCATGAATGTGTACATAAATGTGTATAAGAGTTCAGGGGTGGGACTTGGTCAAACTCTCACAGCATTTCTCATGGATGAGTTTCATTTGAAGTGAATCTTAAATAGCAAGTAGAATTTAGACGTACAGTGATAAGAGAAAGGATTCTAGGTGGCAGGGGAGGTGGGCACTGAGGAGAGGTAGAGTGATAGAATGAAAAGAGAGTGGGTTCCAGCTCACATCATCCTAACAGACCTTTCTTTGAATTCCAGTTCTACCTTTGCTATCCATTTGGCCTTTGCTGAGACTTTTTAATAACCTCAAGGGTTGATTTCCTCATATATCAAATGTGGATTGTCAGTAACAACAATAACAAAAAAGTAAAGCATTTAGCACATGATAGGTGCTCAATTAAAGATAGCTGTTACTATCAAACAAGTGTAGAAAGATGCAGGGTGTATATAGTGGTCAATCAAGGTTAGGAATTTAGCGGTTAACACATGTTGATGCATCTTAAGTTTTCATCATTAGCCATGAATTATTCTCATACCAGACTGATACTATGTCAGGACTTTTATTTATGTATTATGCCATCACCTCAAACTCAACATGTCAAACTGAACATATTATCTCTTCTCCAAAATAAGCTCCTCTTTACAACTTCCTCATGATAATCAGTGATAACATCTTCTAGGCTTTAACTACAACTCTCATCACTGACTAAATATAGTCTAAATTCTGATTTATCCAGGCTTTCTCTAATCTATTTCTGCTGTTTTCCAGCTGTATTTCCACCACTCTGCAACACACACTTTTCATTTCAGTCTGACTGTAGCCCTTGCTTTCATATATATATGCTAAGCTCATTCTCACCTCCATATCTTCATGTTATTGTTCAATCCTCATTAATTCTTCAGGGTCCTTTTTACAGATGCGTGTAGAAGAGAACTTACTTCTCCAAACCTCCTCCACAAGACAATCATATGTCTTTTATAGACCCCAAATATGCATAAGTCAAGTCATGATAACAATGAACCAACTTTATTTCCTTTATGTGTTGACAAAGGCTTCCTTCTTGACCAAACTTTAGACTTCTCCTACTCCTTTTCTCAACTAGGCATCAACTTAGCCTGTTGAGCCCAGTTTTAGCAAAGAAATCTGCTAAGTTAGTTTATGGAGAATCCCCCTGCCCTGCCCCTTGCATCCTTGTCCCTGACATATCTGATCAAGTTTCCTTTCTCCCACCCTTGATATCTGGCCTAACTGTAACAAGAATCCTGGTAAGCTAGTTTACAAGAATCCCTCTAGCCTTGTTATCTAATCAAGTTCCTCTTAGTAATTTTCCATCTACTGATCCCCTCACTCTCTTCATTGCTATAAATCCATTGCTGTCTCAGCTATATTTGGAGTTTTCAATCTCTTCTACTGTGATAGTCTCAACCCCATTGCAATAGTCCTGAATAAAGTTGTCCTTATACTTTTAACAAACGTTAGATAATTTTTCCTTTATAGTGTTTTAATTGGTCTCTGGAAATGCTCACTCCTGAATTTTAGCCTCACCAAAGGGGAAAAATGTTTCCAAAACATAACTCCTCCTGCATTTGGGGGTGGGGGAGGAGGAAGCTCAAAATTACAGACTTCACCTTTTCCATGTAAATGTATTTTGGGTCATTATGTTTGTTTTGCGAACGTGGGGCACTTAAATATTAAAAAGAGGGTCTTTCTGAAATGTTTGCTTGGAAGCTTTGAATTTAAACTTTTATCAGGGTTATTAGACAAAGACTGATCTGGAATGGGCTATAGAACATTTTCTTTCATGTTTGAGGAACTTGTACATTTCCCCAGCATGCTCTGAAGAAACAGATTACAAATATATGAACGAAGAAACTTATAGATAGCTTAAAGAAAAAGAAGACAGGTATTCCTTTCCAAATTGGTTTTATTATACAGTTGAAATATTAATTATAAACATCTAGTCTATTTTCACACAAATGATCAAGAGTATACACTAATAAAGACATGCATTGGGAAGAATCATTACTGGTACATAAACAGACTGGGATTTGGGCCTGAAAGCAATACAATTATATGCCCAGGGTAGTCTCAAAATAGCCTTCGATGGACAGTCACATGTTTTTTCTAATTTAAATTGTGTTAGAAACATGGCATCTACTTTGAGAACCAAATGCTATAAGAGAAGAAGGAAGAACTGTGAGTAACAAAGCAATAAATTTTCTCTTTTGTTTGTTTGTTTTTTGCGGTGCACGGGCCTCTCACTGTTGTGGCATCTCCCATTGCGGAGCACAGGCTCCGGACGCGCAGGCTCAGTGGCCATGGCTCACGGGCCCAGCCGCTCCGCGGCATGTGGGATCTTCCCGGACCGGGGCACGAACCCGCGTCCCCTGCATCGGCAGGCGGACTCTCAACCACTGCGCCACCAGGGAAGCCCAGCAATAGATTTTTAGTCATATCCTAAGGCTTAGCTTGGGCACATTGTGTTATATTTTTCTATTAGATTTCTAGATTTGTGAACAAACATAACTTCTATTCTTTAATGAAGTCCTCATTCATACTATATTGTATTTTCCTGATATTTGTGGGAAAATACAACCTTAGTTTTGTTTTGTATATTTGTTTGATTTTGGAGTTTCCATTATTCTTCAAGGAAGGTATTATCCAAATATTTTTGTAGAAGAACAAATAAATTACATGTAAACCTAACACATTCTTATTGCATTTTTACTTGGCAAGTAGTAATTCACCATTTGAAATAATCAATATCTTTCCAAGTAGCACTGCATTTTTTGCCTTCCTTGCATGTTTTTCTCTCCTCGGATGCAGCATCATTTCTCATTAGTATGCCTCATAGGATGCATTTGGGAAGTATATGAGATCAAAATTTTAATATTTTATCTTTCCTTTAGCAAATAAACTCTTTTTCATCATACGATATAGTACATAAAATATATAAAAATTGGCCATAATTATGGCAAAACCTAAATTACATTTTACAAGGGAGCTTATTTGTCTGACAAAATGTTTGTTGAAAACACACTATTTGTGATATTTGTGTCAAAAATATATGCATTTATTATGAGCCCTTTATTAGTTTTAACATTATGAACAAATATTAATCACAAAATAGACAATTGTTACCAAAGTTTTCATTGCAGTTGTTTTGTTTTCTTTTCCTAAAATTGAATATCCACTCAAAATATTCAGTGATTATTAGCAGGAAATGCATAAGATTGTGTGAATCATCTGATCCACAGTGATTCCATCTGTGAAAAAATAAATACAATGTAGAAATAGCTTTGTAGTAAAATATAAAGGTTTTTGCCTTTTGTCAAATAGATACGTAGCATGACTTCAGTTTGCTTTATTCTTTCATGTGATCTAGTAAATGATTTTTTTAGCTGCCAGAAGGGTGTTCTTGAGAAGCATTGCCACTGTCATGGGTCCCACGCCTCCTGGAACTGGAGTGATAAAGCTAGCCTTCTTCTTAACAGCTGATGGAGGAAACAGAAAGGATTCTTTATTTTTTTCTGAGAATTTCATATTTTTAAACATACTGAACTGTTAAACCTGAAGCATTTTAAAAAGTTAAGAGTTTTTCTGAGCAAAAATGGAGTCTAATCGGGCAGCGCCAAACGTGAAGGATAGCTAGGAAGGCTTCCACCGACAGGAAAGACTTACAGAGAAAAGGTGGAAGCAAAGCAAGGAAATCATTGATTGGTTATAGCTTTAAGTCTAGTTGGCTGTTTGTGATTGGTTGTCCTTGGGTTTTGATTTTGTAACCTTGAGGCAAAATCTACAAGCCAGATTTTGGTTTGCTTACATAGGCGGCCAGGGCATTAGAGCCATCTCAGTCTAATGGCTCCCTTGTTTAATTAACAGATTTTTCTGCATTACACATACAACCCTAACATCCTCAAATCATTTTTAGAATGAAGTAGACTATAACACACACACACACTTCTGTGTATTATATCTAATGTGTATAGAAAGAACACAAAGAGGCCAACACTGTAGGATGAATCTCTATGCAGCTCAGTTAGTTTTACATAATGAAAATCTATAACCCATGATTTATCCAACTACATGTAATTCCAGTTAACTACTTCTAAAATACATGATATTGGTCACAAAGGGGATACAGGATATAGATAGTTCAACACACATCGTCCGTTAAATTAGAATAGTCCTGTTATAAAAACAGCATCACGTATATGTGGATAATACATTCCACTGCAAGTCTAATAAAAATCATTAAACATATTAAAATTAACTGAGCAAATACACATAGTCCTGTTCTAAGGTATGAATGAAGACTTCTTATTCAGTGAATATACTCAAAGAAAATGGCAGAGAATTTTTATCAAGTTTTATTTAAGAATGTTCTCACACCCACAATATTACAGGTGAATGGTTTCATGAATTGACCTACTGGTTTAGTGTTTCACCGTGTGAATAAGAATAATGAACTTTTCCCAGATAACTCTTTTAGTACAAAGTTAGCATAGACAATACTTCTTTACTGCATACTCTGACCTTATCAATCACATGCTATTTAGATGTATTGCCTTTACAAGTTCGCTCGTATATGCTTCTAAATAAATGCATTCAGTAGATGTTCCCTAAATCTTAATTAAGCATTACTTTTGTACAATTTATATTGCCTTCTTGAAATATGGTTTGTAAAATTTACATTTACCTTATTTTAAGTGTATTGGTATAATGCAGTATTTTTTAATAATAGGAAAAGCAAAGGAATAGTATTCTTTTACTTGAAGAAAACTCCAGATAAGCTTGAAGGCATCACACGCACACAAAATCCAGCTAGTGTATATCATGAATCTTCTCGTGGCATATAACAAAGAAAAGATAAGAATGCTGTGATTTAGAAGGTAATATGTTAGTTTTCCAAAATGTGCCTCTATACATGAAGCATGTCCTTTTCCCGCCATACTTCTATCCAATGTACTCTACGCTGTAGAAACACTAGGCTAGGTCAACAGCTATTTCATAAATAGCTACAAATTATCATTCCTTTCTTCCTTTGCTCTCGTTATTCCTTCCACCTGGAATACGCTGCTACCTTATCCAAATAAGAAATTCCTTATTATTCTTTAAAAGCCAGTAATATGTTACCTGTCCATCATTTTTCTCAAAAATTCACCCCTCCGGCATTGAATTAAAAGTGCCACCATCTATGTTTCCAGTCAGTTTATACCAAACTCTGTTATGGAATTTACCACACTGTGCTGTTCCTTTAATTAGACACCGGCACCAAGAAGGCAGAAACTAAGTCTCGTGGTGATTATTGTTGTCATTTTTAATCTGAGAACTTCTCCATACACAGGTGAGGCGTTCAGTAAATTATGATAATGTGAACTAAATAGCCCTTGAAATTTAAAATCTAAAATCAATTTGCAGGAATGTGTCAGTGCTTTTGACTAGATACAAACAACATCAGAACAATTTAGTTCAAGTTAATTTACTGAAATTCTCAAACTACATATTTTGCATGATGGTGACAAACTACATTTTTCATTTTCCAGTAAGCTGACTTGATGGCATGAACAATGCCTTCCAGAACATTTTCTATAGGATTAGAGAAGTAATGCCTTTAAAAATTTCAGCAGATCTCTAGAAGAAATATACTATACTACTATTATTTACACTGATAGTACGTAAAATCATATTTGTAGAGCACTTTGAAATATTAATAGATAAAAATATGTAAAGTAGATAGCTAGTGGGAAGCAGCTGCATGGCACAGGGATATCGGCTCGGTGCTTTGTGACCGCCTGGAGGGGTGGGATAGGGAGGGTGGGAGGGAGGGAGACGCAAGAGGGAAGAGATATGGGAGCATATGTATATGTATAACTGATTCACTTTGTTATAAAGCAGAAACTAACACACCATTGTAAAGCAATTATACCCCAATAAAGATGTTAAAAAAAATAGAATACTACTGAATAATATGGCAAATTAAGAATCAAGTACAAACTAAATCTTCAATGAAAAATAAAATGGTTTATTTCACAATCAAAAGTTAGATAAAATTGGGAATCCATTCTGGGTATACAATAATTTTTTATATAATTTGGTTTTCAACTTTGAAAAATGAAGTGGCTTGGAATTATGTATATATGGAAAAATAGTAATAACCATAGCCACTATCAGTTGACTACTTACTACTTGCCAAGAACTTTATACACATCATTTTAATAATTAATATTTAATTATTATTTCATTTTAATAGCTGAAGAAATTGTGGCTCACTGAAGTTAAAGTGACTTACCATTTTCTAATATGGTAGAGACATTATTCACAGCTAGGTTTGAATCATTCTGTGATTCCATAATTCTATCTCATCCCAATGCAACTGTATTACCATGACCTGAACAAGTTGAAAAGCCCCAAGAAGGGCTCATGTGCCCCAAATTAACTCATTTTTCCCAAAGGGTTAAGAGGATATTTTGAAAAAAGAAACAAAGTGGGGGGGAAATTCTAATATAGTAATTTTCCTACAATTTTACTGTGAGTACTCATAGTTCATCATCTTTGAATTATATCCAGCACTTCAAATTTCAGCTGGCTTAGCAGTTTGAGTTGCTTTCTTTTTTGGGTGAGATTCAGATCAGATAAACCACTGATCTGGTATTAAACCCTCCTCTTTCAAATTATGTTTTTCACAACATGCTTACTATTGCATTCTTTTGCTCAAAAAGTGAGGTTTGAGGTGGAGGAATAGGGAATGAGAATAAGCTGTTGCATGAAATAATACCTCCCCGAAATTTGTAGCTCTGTCTGTAGTTTTGCATACTTTACTGTGGAAGCTAACACACATTTATCCTGTCCTGTCTATCACTTCATAGAATTAGACTATGTGATAGTCTTTACCTGACCTGGGCGAGGACTTCTCTGGACATTCATAAGCATTTAGCTGCATCAACAGAGCCCTGTAAATTACTCACTAGGCAGAAGTTTATGACATCACTGTGAACACACCTGGTTATACAAATACTTGTTTCAAATATTTTTATCTTTGAAATAAACTGGGCAGATGTGAAGATGAAGTTTGTACACAGTCATGAGAGGCAGATTGTGATGAATCTGATTTAAAAAATATAAGATCTCTATTCCTTTTAATTTGATTTTCATTAGGTTCTACATCTGAGAAAGAAACGTTAAATTTTTTCTGCCGCTGGCTAGTGTTAATGTATTCTTTGTCTATTTACATAAGAACCAAGATATGGAAGTGACTTCTCAAGAGAGATGAGAAATTATCATTGGCCAATACCAATGGGTACAGATGCCAATGCTTAAAAGAAATCCTCTAGTCTAAGAATTTTGCATAACTATTTCAAGGCTGTCCTAAGTGACATGTTTATGAAGTACCAGAAGTGGCTTATGAGCTAAACTCAGTCATGTGAGAGTTAAATTCAATACATGTTTGATGCTCTGAAGAGCATCTTCCCCAATCATGTCCGAGAGATAGTTAACAAGCATTACATCACCAGAATAACTTCTCATTGGCTGGTCTTTCCCGAGGGCAGACAAGGGTTTGCACCTGTTTGTTGAAGATGATGCTATTAAAGATTAAACCTATTATGTGTGAGGAAAAAGTGTACTACATGCTCCATTGAAAACAATTACAGAAGAATTTTTAGGCAATAGTTTCATTCAGAAATTTATTTACTGTGAGGGAGTATGTGTGGGTTTTAAGGAAAATACTAACAATTCTGTATATATGAGAATCAGGTATTAGATGTTGATTGATATCAATGCTTTCAAGAGAGGCTCATGAACAGGTATCTCAAAACCAGAGTTAGATTAAATTTCATAAAGTCAACATGATTTTAGAGTTACTGAAACTGACAGTGGAGGCAAGTAAAATAATCACCAAATCCTATTGTTACCTGTGTGGAACTTACTCTAGGGAATGAGATTTAGATGGAAATGACTTGATAATGTTTAAAGCAGTTACCTGATAATAAGAATATTTTGAGGAAAGGTGACAATTATGGTAATTTATCTGAATGACCTCTCTGTAAACTCTTGACCCTGCAAAGTATATTCTATAGATTTACTTAAAAATAATGCTCTACCAGCCAGATTTAGACATTAGAGAGTGTATGTTCAATTGTATAGAAAGGAAAGAAATTACCATTTAAAATCAGTCATTGTGGACACAAGATTTGCCTTTGTACATACTATTTTCTTTGACGTACACTTCCTGCACTTCTCCATCTGATGAATACTTATTCCTCCTTTTTAGATCTGGCTAAATGTCACTTTCCTAGTGGTACTTGTTAACTCCCCAGGCTGCGTAAACTGTTCATTCATTGATCCATGAAACTTAGTAGAGTGATTTTCACTTTGTAGTCACAGAGTATGTTGGAATCTCCTGAGAACTGTAGTCAAACTAGATCTGCCCCCTCCCACCACATGATTCCAGTACACACCACTGAGAATCACTGCTGAAATGAGAGATGTTTCT